CCCCAAAACCCCAAAACCCCAAAACCCCAAAACCCCGCATGGCATATAAGTCATTGATTTAATAATTTACTTAAAATGGAAGACCCAAGCGACACAAATTCCCAACACGAATTCTCACCAATCAAACAAGGTAAGTAGTTGTTCAGCTAAAAACTCGATTATTTATGAGTCTTGTTTTGTTAGAAAGCTTAACTTGCATATAGAAGCCCAGTTTACTTGGAACAATGACGAGGTAACCCACTCCACTACTAATTACAAGAGCAAGTATAATTTAAATTTAGTCTTTACAAAGCAGTGGCAGTGAGGAAGCAGGAAGCCAGAACCCCGAAGACATCAGCAAACTTCGAGCTCAGAACAGTTCTCTAGTAAGTCAATGCTCCCGATCAGTCTATAATACTCTCGCGGTTTGAAGCAGACTGAGTAGTCCATTATTTGACTGAACTTGGCGCTTATCTAATGTGATAGGTCAAAGGATCACCAAATGGTCGCAACTCGAAGCTGTTTGATTATGGTAAGTTCGAAGTGTAATGATCTAGGAGGACTCCAAAATGCTCAACAAGATCTTGAGTAAGTCAACTCAAAGTATTGTGCATCATCTTACTGAATCTTCATAAGCTAACTGAATATCTTCTGTGTGTTGACAAGTGGATCTATCAAGCCAACAAACCTAACTCGATATAGCCCGTTCGGACAAGGCAAAGATGTAATTGCTATGGATTCGGAGCCCCAAGGAGACCGCACTCAAGAACTGACACAACTCGAAGAACTCGATTTCTCAAACCAGCTCGACAACAAAGACTTCTTCAGACCGAAGCTCAAGGAAGTTTCGGCTCTGAGAACAATCTGAGACTTTGTGAAGGCAAGCACTTCATCTGATAGTATAAGTTCAGTGTCATCTATAGGTATCGAGATCAGCAAGAAGAACCACTCTTACTCAGTCGACAAACCCACTTTGTGGGGGATCAACAGCAAGATATCAGACCACGAGTGTGATGTGTTCTTGAAACAAAATTTTAAGTAAGTTAAAACCAAGCGAGCATAGACACATTCCATGGGTGTCTCCGAGCATTGTCGGAGTGTCAAGTCCCAAACTCCAGTTGCATAACGAAATTGTGGAGTTCTACAAAGTGTTCGGACCAAACCCGAAGGAGATGCACAACAGAGCCGAGTGTTTCAAGGCAGTGAAATAAAGCCATCAAAAGATATATCAAGTCAAGGCCAGAAATTAACTCCAAAGGTAAGTTTGGGCTCACTCCACAGATATCAAAGTGAGAGTCTTCGGGTCTTCATGCACAAACCTGTATGTAAACTCAACAGTCAAGTAAGTCTTGTTTGTAAGGTTTTGCTTAGACGGTACTACAAGTTGATTCCGAGCGATATCGATATTGTTGTGAGCGGAAGCATCCAGCTCATGGACATCCACAATGCGCTTGAAGCATGACCAGAACGATTCGGAGACTGTCACCCGCTCAAAGCCAAAGTCTCATTGATCAAAGGCTACGACCACCACACCAACATTGACTTTGACATTTGTATCAATGAAAGCGACGGAGTCAAAGGCTCCAAACTTGTGAACCAGTTCAAGAAAGAGTTCCCCGAACTCAAGTACCTTGCAGTGATCCTCAAAATTTTGTTGAGCATCCACGACTTAAACAAAACATTTGATGGTGGAATCAGTTCATTCGGCTTGATCTTGCTCATTGTGAGTTACTTACAACAACACAAAAACAGAAAGGCGCAACAAGAAGATGCTTCTCCGACTCTGCTATCTGAGCACCTTCTGAACCTGCTGAAGCTGTACGGTGTTGATTTCAACTACAAGAAACTCGGAATTTCAGTCAGAAAAGCTGGCTTTTACTACAACAGAAATGACAAAGGCTTCGACAATGGCTCCCATGCAAGATCAGCATTGTCTCTGGAAAACCCTATTAACACCGACTTGAACATTGCAGTTGCAGCCCACAGGTTTCCTGAGATCATGAAGCTGTTTCGGGAGTGCCACTCCAAAATAACATTGCAAGAGCACCCAGTTGGACTCAGCATCTTGGGTCTGATCCTGCAGGCATCGTAGGATTGGAGACATGCAGACTGGGTCTTCTTGCATTGTATCAATAATTTCAGACTCAACACTTGGAAACAGAGAGCTAGATAATTAAGCTGAAACTTATTTCAACAAAATAAACAGTTTTAGGGGTTTTGGGGTTTTGGGGTTTTGGGGTTTTGGGG